CACTGACCAACAGTGGGCAGATGCTCAATGTAGAAGTTGCCCACTGGTGGTCAGTGCACTCCCACAGGGAGAGCGCTGCTCAGTCAGAAGCTGGCTCATGGCTGGCAAGTGCAGTGTCAGTGGTGGGAGCCTCTCTTGCCTCTGTGGCAGCGATAAAGCCCCCTCGGGGAATGTCCGACTGTGAGAGGGCGCAGGTTGGGCTGAGGGACCCCCCTGCCCAGTGCACGAATGTTGTGCACCAGGCCTCTAGTATTTTATAAAACACTAACATCTAAAGGTGGAAACTCAGGCAGCAAATTTTGCAGGTACAGCTTGATAAGGATCTGAACGTTAAGGTATCCTTTACCTTTCCTGACTTGTGTTTTCTTCTTGCTACTGTTTTTAATTTGTGTGACCCAGTTGTTGGTCCCTTCCTGCTTTCCCCCCTGTGGTCACATTTACAAAACTCCAGACTCCTCACCAGCTTCCCCAGGATATCTGATCATACCAAGCATTTTTTTGTAGTTTTATTACATATCTGCTGGGTCCGGAGACAAGGGTCACCCACCATATATAGCATATTGCTCAGCAAATTTAGCTTCGGGATCTCTCTTCTCCAAAGACTGTTTAGTCTCAGGCCTTGACCTCCCCGCTGCCTTCACCACCTCTCCCATCCCCAGAGCTTTCAGCTCTGCTCCTCTTTTCTCGGACTCCTTTGCTGGCAGAATGGCTTTCTTCTTGTGAAATTGGGCTCCTGGTCCCTAGGGCAGCCCCTAAGGAGGCCTTCTGTCCCGCAGAGAGCTTCTGCCCCACAGGCTCTCCTTTCCTACAAAGAAATTTCCTGCCAGCACTTTCTCCTCGTTGCATGTTTGTATGGTAAGTCATTTATGCAATGAGCTGAGACCTGTTCATTAAACAGTCCTGGCAGACAGACAATGGGTCCGTGCTGCCTGTCACTGCTCAGAGACAGGGTTGAATCATATATGAGCGTTTATTCCAATATTGCCGCAGTATGGGAGAGCAGCAGGTCATCCACAGAAATCTGCTCTGCAGCCCCCCATAAGCCAGCAGCTTCTATAGTACAAGTACAAAGGCAAGTAGGCAAGTAGGCAAATGGGCAGTTTACAGACATGCAAAAGGGTTGGTGTCTTCAAAGGGCTTAGTGATATGCAAGGGCCGGGGTTAGATGGGGAAATAGTGGGCCAAATGGGCAGTTAACAGGTAAGCAGAGGGTTGGGGATCTTCAAAGGGCTGGTGACTCCGGTTTCTGGCTCTGGTTCTGCAACAAGGTTTTTAGTCTTTCCATAATAGGCAGCTCCAAGTGGGGAGGAAGGGCTGCACTTCCAGGTGAGCTCCCAGGTCCTGGACAGATGCCAACCAGGTGGGAATGTGCCTTCTTTAATCAGAATAAAACAATCACGGTTAACAGAGCATGCTTAATATTTCTTACAATTCTAGCTGGTTCCCTAACATTCTATTTCTGCCCCTATCAGAAGTATAGTCTAGTGAAGTACGCAGGTACTGTGGCCCACTGGCCGAAGTTCCCATCCCTGTTTCTCGTGACTAGCTGATCTTGGACAAGTCACTTGCTGTCTCTCTAGGCTTCCGTTTTCAAAACTGTAAAATGAGGTCAGTGATCGAGCCAACTTTATAAAGTTGTTGTGACGATTAAATGAGCTCAGAAAGAGGGCTCAGATCAGGGCAGAGTGCAGAGTCGCTGCTCAGTCGATGCACTCTGTTACTCCGGCTACAGGGGTTCAGGGATGAGAGTCCTGTTCTTTTGGGGAGAAGCAGCCTGGTGTCCTGGAAGTATTCCACTCCTTTGTTCCCCGAACATAACCATTCACTTCTCCTACATCTAGTTTTGCTCCTACTGTTAACTTCACATGAAGTAACTGACTCGGTATTTTCACTTGTCCAATTTCAAGATGCTTGGTTCCCCCTAAACCCTTCCTGATCTGGCTTGCCTAAAACAAGCTCTCCCACCAGCTAGCTCTGCTTTGTATCACAGTCGCTTGTCTCATTCCCCTTCTAATGGAAGCCAGGTACCATTTCTTACTCGCTAAAAGTCCGTTAAAGGTAGAGGGCACATTTCCATGTAACCAACCCTTTTCCATTATCTTTTTATTCTAGATGGCGACTGCAGTAAACCTGAGGGGGAAAAGACCAGCGAGGCAGCCAAAGGGATGGCCTCTAGGCCTCCCTGGTGGCTGGCAGGGGCTGCCTTTGGCAGTCTTGTGTTCCTCACCCACTGGATTTTTGGAGAAGTCTCTCTTGTTTCCAGATGGGCAGTGAGTGGGCATCCCCATCGAGGGCCAGATCCTAACCCATTTGGGTGAGTTTGGGTTTGTTGTGGTTGAAGGAAGAAGTGCCTTCTTTGTTGAGCAGCTAGATCTGTGCTGGCCAGATATTTCCTACTCTGTTTCCCTTGGACATTAGAAATGGCGCATGGCATTACTGGGCTCTCTGGGGACGGAGGAGACAGAAGAGTAGGGGCCAATACTGAAGGATTGCTGCGAGGTGAATGGGAGGGTTGAGGGCTGTGCACAGCTGAGCAAGAGGTTCTGGGAGCTCCTGCACCGGCATCCTGAAACTCTGAGGAATCCCCGCACAGAAGACCATGCTCGGTAGCAGGGAAGGCATGGCACTCCCTGGCCATTTTCTCCAGAAACCTCCCCCACTTCCACCATTACAGTTGGTAGGATGAGACCAGAGTGCCCTGATGAGGGACTGGGTTGGCAGCCTGGACGTAGGTCTTGATTCTCTGCAAAGGACGAAAGCCCTGGGAGATCTCTGCATCCTCTGTACTCTGGAACCTGCTGCATCCTGGGGCACCCAAGAGTCAGCAGTCCTGAGTTTAAGTGTTGGTCCATGTGTTTGGTCCTCATTATTCTCTCTCTACTCTTCCTGGGACCTCCTACCTCCTGCAGCGAAGTCCAGCCATTCATGTTAAAAGGTTGGAGGGACCTTTAAAACATCTGCCTCAGATATGTTTTCTCTTAAGGTGCTGAAATGCCCATATTTGGATACATGTACAAAAACTGCCCCTGGCAAACCTCTGGGCACATCCCACAGATGTCTCAAGCTCAGCGTGTCCACATCTGGACTCAGCAGCTCCCAGTCCCCAAACATGCTCTTCCTCCTCCATGCCTTGGTTCACTCTGCCAAGTCATCCTGCGATTCTGAGTCTTCTTCATTTTCTGAATCTAATTGGGCATTATGTTCGGTCAGTTCTACTGCTTCTCTGAAAGAATCTACACCTTCTTCCCTGTCTGCAACCGCATCTGCCTCAGTGGAGTCCTCACCATCTTTCACCCAGGCCATGCTATTGTCTCCTAATGGTCGTCTCTTTCTGGTGTGGCCTTCTCCACACTGCCCCAGAGTGAGCTCTCTAAAATGCAAATCTGACTCCATCCCTCCCTTGCTTGAAACCTTTCAGGTCTCCCCCCCGCCCCCCCACTACTCCCCATACCAGGTCACAGAGACAGGATCTACACGCGCGCGCACACACACACACGCACGCACACACGCACGCACACACACACCTCACTTTTACAAACGCTCTCCGCTCTCCATCTTATCCCTTTGCTTCACCTGGGCTGACATCACTTTCAGTTCCTCAGAAGTGCCAGACTGTTCCAGTCCTCCATCTCAGTTTATGTGCTCGTCCCTGTCTGGGCTGCCTTCTCTGACTTGATATCCTGGCAAGCTCTTACTCACCCTTCAAAACCCAGCTCAGGCATCTCCTTTGTGAAATCTTCTCTGACTCTCCCAAGGATTCCTTTATGCCACATACTCGCTTGGATCTCCACCCACACATATCTTTTCTTATTATTCCGTATTAGAATTTGAAAAAAAAAATGACAGTTATTTTTTCCTTTCTAGACACCATGCTCCTGAGGTCAGGGACTGAGAAAAGGAACTAATATTCAACTTTGGACCAGTCACATGACATCCCTGGCCATTTTCTCACTGTACAGTGACAGCTTTCTTTTTAGATATTTTGTAATTCTATATGTCGGGGCAAGACATTGCAGATGGAGATGTAACTCACGAGACCAGCATTCCCAAACTATGTTCTGTGGAACGCGGATTTCTTGAGATGTTAGTAGGTACTCTGAGAGGGGAAAAAAGTCTTCCAGATCAAATACTGCATCTCACATTCTTTCTTTGTGTTTCACACAGAAAAGGGCT